CTAATCTTGAACGTCACCAAAAGGCGCTCCAATGCAAGGCAACCTAGAAGCACATGGTCTAAATCACCAAACTCTGAGTGACCATTTTAATCCACTTTCAACTAGGAGAAATCTATCAGGATCTAGTCAAAGCATTATAGTTGGTCATGGTCAATTTCCATACTTGTTATAGGCTCCCTACCATAATGCCCCCAAGCTTAATGTTCTTATTAAATTATTTTAGAAAATTCAGTTTTATTTCTTTGTAATTTTACCGGCAGGTTATTTGGATTAAGTTTATGAATGTGAACTCTTTACCCTTACGTGGCTGGAAATTTTATTTTTAATGATGAAATTTTTTTATATTTTTTTATAATTACTGTATATGTATGTTGGGGTAGAGGGTGTCACACTTAAGGTAGAAAATCATAGAGATTCCATTGTATAGATTCACACCACCTCCCGAAGAAATTATGAATGAATGCATGGACTCCCATACAACATTTCATCATATCATCATCATCACCTTTTATACTCTTACTATCTCTTTCATCATTCTTACATTTCATTGTTACCTCTCATATTTTTACTCAGTTATGCTTATCCTCTATGTCTTTTCACCTTTCTCAAAATATGATTATCATGTTCCTTTCTTCTTTTTGATCGTCATGACACTCTTCTACTCTGAAACGTAATCAGTAAATATTTTTATAATAATAAAAATTTGTTAAATTAAAAACCTCTTAAAAATTATCTCTTTTAGTAAAAGGGTTCACAAAACATTGAATAAAACTCTTAGATAGAAGGATAGACAAAATGAAACATAAGTTCAAATCAAGGCACAAATTGTTGGCCTTAGATTCTACCTTTAGAGCTTTTCCTTTTCTTTTTTCTTACTGGTTTCACCACTCGTTAAAGCAATAGTTTCATTTATTTTAGGGTGATCTCTATTGTTCAAGTGAACCTCAAGAACTTGTAGAGCTCCAAGAAGTTCATCAAGAGTGAGAACTTTAAGATCACGCGCTTCTGAGATAGATTTTGTTTTGGGCTCCCAGATCTTAGGTAGGTTATCCAATATCTTCAAATTATTTTAAGCTTTTGAAAACTCAGTTTCCAAGGATTTTAAACCATTGAGAATTATTTGGAAACGTCCAAACATCTTGTCTATGGTCTCATTCGCCTTCATGGAGAACAACTCGTAGTGTCTCTGAAGAGTAGTTGCTCTCCTGAACCTCACACCTTTAGTACCTTCATGAATTATCCTAATGACATCCCACATTTCCTTGGCGATGAAGTAACTATAGAACTTTCCATACTCAATTCGAGACAACAAGCATGCAATGAGGTAGCGTGCCTTCATGTTGTTTTGTAGAATGTTATAGTCTTCTTGAGTGTATTGTATCTTAGGCTTTGTAACAACAATGTCACCTTGTGTTATTACCTTACATAGGGGTTACTAAGTGGACTTTATGAACATTTTCATTCACAGGTAGTCTTCTCCATTAAAGGTTGGAGACCTCGTAAGAGAAGCTCCTTTTGGTAGATATTGGCCTTCACTACTTCCTATTTGGATTTTTTTTCCTTTAGCATGGTTGGACGCTTAATTCCGTCAAAGGTCGAGCTCTGATACCAAAATATGGAGAAAAGATAGTCATTAGAAGGGGAGTTGAATAGTAAATATCAAAAACTCACACTTTTTTCAAAAGAACAGATGGAACACTGAGTATTTTTATACTGGTTCGTCTAAAATACAGAGACTATGTCTAGTTCTCAATCCAACCAGATTGAGTTCCACTAACTTTGTCAAAGTTACAAGTATTCTTTCCCCAACCACTTCTGGCTCTACAACAAGTGTTCTTTGACTGGCCTCCTCAAGCTGCTACCCAAGTATTCTTTTACAATTAAGTCTCTCCAAGCTTTACAACAAGTGTTCTTTAACTAGCCTCTTTAATCCACTACCCAAGTATTCTTCTACAATCAAACTCTCTAAGATATACCCGATAATAATAGTTATCAAGGTATTACAAGGTTGTTACTGTTGGTCCCAGATTACTAGAATCTAGAAGGGGGGGTTAAATAGATTCTATCCTAAGATGACTGAACTTTCGACAATTCTTGATAAAAGCCTATCAAGATATCTAAAACTCAACCTTTACTCAATCTAATTTAACAAATAACAATAGATTACAAGGTTTATTACCAGAGTATCAAAATATGAAATTTAATGCAGCAAAACAATTACTTGTAATCAAGGTTGATTTTATATTACCTTCTTCTTAATCAATTTCAATCACAAGAATAATGATTAGAGTTTTTACAATAATTGAAATTTCGTATTTCATAAATATTTGAAATCTTTAACCAGGATATTAACAAGATTCTTAAAGATAAGGGTAAGAAGATAAAGAACATAGAAATTTATACTAGTTCAGCCATCCACTTGGCCTACATCTAGTTTTCCCTGATTTAGCACCCCACTAAATCAAAGATCATTCACTATAATATTGTTTACAAACACCTTGCACACACAATATTACCAGAATTTAAACAAACATCAATCTTGATACCAAAAGATTGAAAACACACAAAATTTATGTACCCCACATAAATTACTTGAGAAACTCTACTCAAGATTTCAAAATCTCTTGTTGAGACACCCTATCTTAAGAGATACACAATCCAAAACGAAAATACAAGTTTAAAGATTAGAAAGATATCACCTAATTTCGTGTAGATATTGATCTTTCACAATTGAATATAATTATTGAATTTCTTCCTTCAAGAACTCATGTTCAATCTTAGCACTTCTTGATATTTCAGAAAAATTCTTTGACCATCCTTGATTCTTGTTTATGAAAGTAATCTTTTTCTCAAATGTTTTTTCTTTCAAAAGATTTTCAAAAAGTTCTCAAATTTTTTTAATTTCAAAATTATATTTACTTAAAGTTCAAGACGTGATTTAGTTATAAAGAATAATAACAGAGGTAATCTATTATCTAATATGGTAATTTGTTACCAACTCTTTAAAAATGAACCAAAAACACAAAATCACCAAGGTAATCGATTACAGGATATGATAATCGATTATCCCGAGCTTTCTTAAGATCCAGGATTGCCTTTCATTCTGTGGTAATCGACTATCTCATATGGTAATCGATTAACATGATGAAAACTTTGATTCTTCAGCCTTGTTTCAAGCAAAAGAGTTTGTTTGAATCTATTACCAACTTTGGTAATCTATTACCTCAGTAAACACTTTGAAAATTATTTTTCAATAACAGGCGTGGTAATCTATTAATCTAGAGGACATTTGAATATCTTTTTCTTGTAACAGAGTTGGTAATCTATTACCCTGAATGGTAATTGATTAACAAAGTTACCTTGAAAACTCTTGTTTGAATTAAGTCATATTTCTATGTAAAACACTTGGTAGTAAATTACCTTTTTCAAGATAATCTATAACTTTATGGTTACTCATGGAAATACTAAAAAATAAAATTCTTGGTTTCTTAAAAAAACTTGATTAGTTCTTGAATTAAGCATTCATCATCATCATCAATCATAAACAAACGCACAGACGAGCCTATATCTATTACAATCAATACAATATCTTTTTGCATAGCTTTAAGCAATATCTATATAATGCATCATCAAAACTAAAACACTTTTGAGGAGTCTTCAAGATGTTCCATCATCTTCATCATCTTAACAATCTCCATCATCTCAACAATTACAATCATCTCTCTAAGACGTGAATACAACAATGTTTTGATATATAAAAAAAATTCTACAACATAAAAGATATATAGAAGAAATATGTCTATGAATGTTCTTGTATTTCAATCAAAAGCTTCTCTTTGTCTTGATCTTTAGAATTTCTTATGAAGTAGCTTTGGAGAAGATGACCATTGCAACACTTTAAGTCCAGCTCATAAGGTTGTTTCGTCTTTCTTTATTGTTTTCCTTGTGGTGGCAAGTAATCGTTAAGCACATTTAATACGAGCATTAAATGCATTTCACCAAATAATACCTCTTATCTGATTAAGGAGACTATTTATCAATTTTCCATATCAAACAGAGCTTGTAGAAATAATGTCAGTGCAGAAAAACTATTGTAGTGACTTTATCTACTTTTTTCTATGATTTCAGGGATTCGATTCTAATTGAAAGCATGGGTTTTCTTTTTAACAGATTTGCGAGTTTTCATATAGTCTTTTGATTTGATCTATTAAAGAATGCAACATTCAAAACAAACTTTATCACTAGTCTTAATAAATGATAAATATTTAATGTATATGAGATAGACTAGATATTTCATCTAATTAATAATCATCTTATAGACGATTTGCATCTTACAAATGATTTACGTCTTACACCTCGTCTAATAAACTTTTCAAAAATACGTTTCAAAGATATTTTTGCAGACATTTCTTTTATATAAAAATATTTTATTTGTTAGTATTAAAATTCTAAATATAAATGATCATCTTTTAATTTAACAATCTTCATAGTAGGTCGTTGGCCACCAAAACATCACCATCTCCACCCTACTTTACCGCCTACATTTGACCACCAAAATGTGAAGCAAAATGGTACCATCGAGCGACTCTTCATCCTCGAATCCATGTAGGAGGATTTTAAGCGCCACAGAAATCTTGCTGCCATCTCCATCGTCCTACCGGAGGGAGCTCCAAAGGTCCACTCGTTGGGACTGTCCATTGTGGCTTGAAGAGAGTGTAACCAAAGGAGCACGTATGAAATTTTTTTTTATTTTTTTAATCCTACCTATTACTTATAATTGATGTTACAATCTTTTATTAACAAAAGTGAGACAGGTGATTTCAATATATGCAAAAGAGACACCACGTGTTGTTTTGTTTAAAAAATAGTGAGCAATTAAGAATGAGAGAATCTGAGCAATTGACTGCGTTGAAAGTGTACAATTACGGAATGAGCAAATGAAATATAAATTCGTCAGAGAAAATTACATGTAATTTACACAATGTACAGCTACCATAATAAACCAAAGTTAAAAAAATAATTGTGTACGTGAGATGATGTTTTCTTTATTAGTGTAGTAATTCACTTATAATCCAAGTGGCCTTTTATGACTTCACATTTTAGGACATTGCTTATAATTCTCATCAGTTGAGTAATTTTAATCAAGAACATGATGCACAGCGAAAGGTGTGCTATCAACTTTTCCCGGATATCCTAACACCATCTCAACCATCATTTCAGCCGTACCCAAAGCCTGGAAAATACTCCATTATTAGAAGAATATCTAAAAGTTTATGAATTCAGAGTGGATGCTAACTATCTTTTAGTGTTAATAGGCAATGTCAAAATGCTATATTTTTATAATAAAAAAATTAAGTGCATTTGAGAACTCACCATTGAAAGCCCATTCCCTTCATGTCCAGATGCAAGGTACACATTTGACAAGTCAGGCACAGGGCCAATCACTGGCTTCCCATCAGGAACTAACAGTAAAAATTATACATGCAAGTCAAATAAAATATGTTGAGTAAAACGATTTTGAAAATGTAAATAAAAGATAATGTTTGGGTGAACTTTTTCAGAAATATTTATAGAATAAGAAGAAAAAAATGAAATATTTTTTTTCTTCATAAAATTAGTTTATTATAAATTAATTTGTAGAAACTTTCTTGTATTAATTTCTTCAAAATCTTATTTATAATTCATGTATAAGCTAATTTTAATTTATGAAAAAAAATTTAATTTTTTTTCTTCTTATTTTTTTCATTTAGAAATACTCAGAAGAAGCTCATCTAAACATCCATAAAGTATAAATAGTTCAACAGCATTAGATATTTAAGAGAAATGGTGACTCACTGTAAGGTCGTAGTCCTATTCTGACTTTTCTACTTGCACTTAAATCTGACAAGGAAAGTGTTTTCAATTTGGGAAAGAAATCTCCAGCTCGCTTCCATATGTAACTAACAACAGACTCGTCCAAATCGGTGTTGAAACCAACAAATTCACGGCTACTACCTACATAGTGGATAAGATTTTCGCTTTTTACCACAAGCAAAAGAATGTTAAAGATATAAATTATAGAAGCATTTGCATCAACCACAAAATATTGATCTATTTCCCAATAAGTATACTCTATATGGTTCTTATTGTAAGACACTCTTAATTGAATCATATCTACAAATATAAGTAGTTATATTAGTTAATTTTATTGAATATATAAACAAAATTTATGATGTACCAATTTCATCTTTTTTACTTATCATTAAATTTTCATAAGAGATTTGAAAAATGAAATTGTAAAATTTAAGAAGTGAAAGCATTTATTTCTTAAATTCTCTTTTTATATTATTTAACAACAAAAAATACATATTTTTACAATCTTTAATTGAAGTATAAGATGAAAAATAAATATTAATATTTTATAGAAATTATAAAGTACCTTATAGAAAATATCATTATTTCTCTTTAATTGAAGCATAAGATGAAAAATAAATACTAATATTTTATAGAAATTGTAAAGTAGCTTATAGAAAGTATCATTATTTCTTTTTACATCGTGTATTATAATAAAGATCGAGGGTCTACAAACTTATTTATGAAGGAAATGAAACAAATAAGACTTCAGTCAAGATGCACATGTGAATAATTTAATAACACCAATACACTATTCCCGAAAAGAAAACAAAAAAAAATGCAAAAATAACAATAAGTATCATGTTATATATGCAAATGAAACCATGAGCATATTATCATTGAATAATTGCCGCCACACACACTTGTTTGAATGGAAATCTTTTCAAAGACAAAAGATTGGTCGATATAAATAATAGTCAAAAAGGTTAAATATATTTTTATTTCTTTAAATGTGAGATAACTTTTATTTTGGTCTTTAAAATTTAAAACTAATATTTTTAGTTCCTTTAATTTAAAAAAAAAGTTTATTCTAATCCAACCATCTAAATGTAATTTGTGAATCTCTCACATAAAATTCAATTATTATTGTGGAAATCTGTCACATAAAATCTATTTTCTTAAGTCTTTACTGATGAAAACATTATATTAAACATAATTAATTAAACATAATTAGTGTTACATAATTGACTTAATATGCCATTTCAGTATTGTTGTATGTGATCCAGAAAAATTACAAGTTTTTTTCCAAAAAAAAAAAAGATAATTACAAAGACTAAAATCATTAATTTAAAATTTTGAGGGCTAAAACAAACATTAGTCCCAAATTTAAGAGAGTAAAAACATATTTAAATCTAGTTCAAACTTAGAATCAAAATATGCAATCATCTGACATATAAATTAGTTATGCAAGCTTCCTCGTTGCAGATATTATTTACATGGGCCATGGAAACGAAGCTTACCAAGAAGAAGATTCCCTGCTACGTCTATATTTGCTACCATTGAAACAGATAAGTGCTTTTCATGATCAGATGATTCTAAACCAGAAATTGTTGGATGGTTGAGATAATTTGCCTCCATCAAGCCATGATTCAATTGAAGAAAATTGAAATTCTCGAGCACAAGTAGGTGACCCTTCACACCAAATAGAAGAACACACAAAGGAACATAGCAATCAATCAATCAACTAAATAATCTGATCGACTTAAATCATTCTATGTATGCATTTTAAAGGAAATTGCTCGAGATGTGACTTTGTCACGTTTGCATGAGCATGTTGTCAATGGTTTTTTTTTTGTCAGCATGTCGTCAATAGTAATATATGAACCAACTTTGTGGTTTAAACATGATGATCCCATAACAATATGCCAAGCAAGGAAAGAAAACTCACCACACATACACACAAAAATAAGACTCATTCCAAACATGACCAGTTCATAATATAATCATACAAAATTGTTAGAATTACGAGATTTTATCTTACTTGAAATTTAAACAAGTTTTTAATAAGTTTTGTCATTTTTGCATGTTTTAGGTTTTTCTAATTTGTTAATGTAATCTCAAATGAATATGCTTAAAAAAAAGTGAGATTTTATAGAAATTTCAAATTGATTGTAAGTCTAAAAATATCTATTCTCTTTTATGAATTATAATGGAAATTTTCCTTTTCCAATTTAACTCCCCCAATTTCTGTCCCAAGTCCATTATTTCATTGTTTTACAAAATATTTTTAATAGTGATATCAAGAGTTTGCTTCCTATCGGTCGTGAAGCAAAATTTTTATTGAGTGATTGAATGGTAAACATAGTGAGACTAAATGCAAACACTAAACTAAACGGTTTATTCTTCAAGCAACTGTAGTACAATTATATCTTCTGACAATTTCTCATCCATAATTCCAATGTCTGAAGGTGAAAACTATGACATTAATTCCAACAAGACAAAGTACAACAATAGCTAATTACTATAACACATTATTACCCAAAGATGCCAAAGGATGGTCAATGTTTTCATGGCCTACAAGGAAAAACCAACCTAAAGGTATTAACTACGTTATGTTTATTGTGGTAGAATACAAGTATTATAGACAAGTTATATGTTAGGAACCCAGATTAGAAAATAAAGAAAGATGGTGTTTCTTGATTGGTAAACTCTAAAAGATAAGAGAGATAACTCTCCTCCAAGGGAATAAATGTCTCGATTTCGATTTCTCTTTTCACAAATAGCAAAGCTCAATTATCAAATGATACAGGATAGAATGAATCATTCCCCTTGGATCCAACCTATTTATTGAACTCATTCACCCCCTAACTAACTAAGTAATATCCTAACTACCTTAACGAATTTCTAAGTCCGAACAATACTACAATGTTGCAAAGCACAAACCCAAGTGATTTCAAAATATCTCATTTCTTGTTACATTAGAACTTATTTTAAGAGATTATTAGAGCAAGACTCAAATTTTCCTATCTTATCCCCCTTCAAAATAACCACCCACAAACTAAAGAGTATAATATAGCTAAGCAAATTCCACAAACTGTCATAACTTAAATTCACTTTACAAAGTAAAATGTACCTGAGTGCATGGTAAATGACAATATTTGGACAAACACTGAATGAATATGAATTCCTTGATATACAAGATTCGGTCAGTTCAAGCTGTATATAAACACACCTTTCTTGGTTTTACTGGAACATGCAATTCCATTCCCCAATTTCTGAACAAGTCCTGTATCAAACCACCAGTCCAACAACCAGCTGCAACTATAACCGCTTTTTTGCTGTATATTGTGTTCTTGGAAGTCTGAACAGCTTTGACCTCCCCATTGCTATAAGACCTGATAAAAAATTAAACAAACCATTTAGTCAACAAAATTTGTTTCCCTAATTGCTTTCATTGCCACAGTGCAACAAAAAGGGGGAAAAAGTATTAAACCTGATGAAGGATTTCACTGGCTCATTGTAAAATTCTGTATATCTTCCTTTTGATGCAAAATTCCTGTTAGTCTACACAACAATAAACTTGCTGACTGTAAGTTTGAAGCGACAAGTATAGGACATATTTGGATTATTGGATATACTTCTCCAAGTACTTTCAGAAGGAAAATTAAAGTAAGTTTTTCCGTAAGTTAAAAAAATCCTATGCATAAGTGAGAAAAGAGTTTTTAGAAAAGCTAACATGAGAGAGTTTTTACAAATTAACTTCTACATAAGTTAAGTTTAGCTTAGGAAGAAACTTGTTTCATTTTTCCTTCCGATTTTTATCTTTTAAAAGTATTTTTGGAAAACAAATTATCCAAACAGGTCCATAGCAGCACCGTAGCAAGTCTATGATTGAGAGAAAAATGTAAACATTTACAAGATGCAAGTATAATATATGCAAAGAAAAATGAACCAATACAGAACCTTTTCAATATATGCAACAGTACGACGAGCATCCAATTGGCAATCATCTGGTAGAAATGCAGCTGCAGTGTCTTTCTCCACCAACAGATCAGGTTCCTCTTTAATCAAATCACTGCTACACAGGTACTCCGCTTTCAATCCAGCTTCACAAAGTTGTTTCACCATCTCTTTTAGCATGTCTGACTCTTCTTGAGTTCTACCGATTAATAGGCTCCCTGTTGATCAAAAGAAATGTCACTTCATAGTTATGATTACTGGGAAAAAAGGCCTAAAACTTTCATTACTGTGAATATCAATGCCTCCTGCATATTGTTGTACATGACACTAATTGTAGACTGAAAATTTCACGCAATAACTTCTTCAGAATAATCCATAACAACCAATTAGCATCTCAAATTCACAATGATATGATAGCATATATGATAATTTCAATCTGCTACTAGTTATATTAGCAATAGTATGAATTCTATTTCATTTTTACCACACGAAAATACACAGGAGGATCTACATTTCAAATTTAGAAATCAGCATGATCTACATAAACTTATTTCTCTTTTTAGGCTAAATTACTCTTATGATCTCTCTTGTAATTTAATTAGTTCAATTAGGTCACTTATTATTAAAAGGATCAATTTAGTCCCTTAATTTTTAAAAACTATGCAAAGTTGCTCTTTCCATCCAATTTCGACTATCAGTATAACTTCTTGTACATATGGCACAATTAAAAAGTGACATTGTCACTACATGTATAAGAAAACAATGTTGCTCTAAATTAGACGAAAAGGATAACATTGCATCACTTTTAAAGATTAAATGATGAAACTGAACATTTTAATAATAAAGGGATACAATATACAAATACATCAATTAAATAAAAAAAGAGAGGAAAAGAAAAGTAGTTTAGCTCTCTTTTTACAAACATATTAGTGCTTGCTTCTCTTTCTATCTGTTGTTCTCTGATGTCAAAAAGTGCTTTCAGAAAAAAATGTTAAGATTTGTTGCCTCATGGCATCAATAGATTGAAGCAAAAGATGAAGCTAGGTGCAAGTCCTCCCTAGTCCCTATGACCAGATGATCTGCTGGACTGAAAAGAGAATGGCCTTGGACAATGTTCCAAGCATACATTTCACAGATGCATGCATGCTATCAAACTAAAGGAAGATATCCAAAACACTTCCTACATAACTAAATATAGTTTTGTGATTAAGAAATTGCATATAAAATAATAAAAAAAATCATAATTAAAACTCAACCAGACACTTCTTTTTTGCTTCCCCACTCCTATAATGCAGCATCTGCAGTCTGCACACTACACTGATGGCTCACTAAGAGACGCAAATTTTATATGCAGCTTGAAATTCAGTGAGACACATTGGCGTGACTCCCTTCCAAATTGCAGTGGAAACAAAGAGAAATTTGCAGAAAAATTACAGGTATTGCAGTAGGAACATAGATAAATCATACCACACACTTTCCAACCCAACTCCACCATAGGATCCAAGCCTTGCTCTTCTAGGCTCTGTGCCAGCATCTTCCAAAGTTGATGGCTCCTCCTCGTAAGATCCCATGTAGCACTTCCAGGGGTTTTGTGTATCATCCATAGATTTCCTTGTCCTACAACCAGCTTAGACAATTGGAAATGCTGTCTTTTTTGCTGAGTATACAATTGGAAAAGCTCATAACCGCTGATCACTAGTTTTTTTTTTTTTTTTTTTTTTTAAGAATACATAAATAAAAATGGAAATAATATCGATTTCATCCGTTTCTTCACATCATTTTGAAGAGAGCAATTTCATGTGAAAAACTAATTTATCTTTTTCTCTTATAAAGATTTATCTAAATAAAACTTATACATGTTTATTTCATATTTTTTTTAGACTTAAATTAAATACTTCACAAATACATATATAGGTGAGGTATAAAAAAAATGGATATTAGCTACTTACGGATTTAGATTAAATATCGATGCTACATTATTATGGCAAGGATGTATATTTTTTGTTAATTAAATATATTTTTAGTCTTTTAAATTTAAAATAAATTTATTTTTTTATCTCTCAAATTTAAAATGATTTTTTTTTAAATTTCTATAATTTTTAAAAAAAATTATTTTAATTCTTCATATCACTCACTAATAAAATATTTAAAAATGATAAATTGAGATAATTATGCATTTATGTTTAATGTGATGTATTTCACATATTTTCTTACAAAATTTTATAAGAATTAAAATAAACATTTTTGAAGTTTGGTAATTAAAAAGATCAATTTTAAATAAAAGTTTAAAAATGAATGTCATTAAATTTAAATAACTAAAAATATATTTAAATCTTTTAATTCTTTTTATGTCGATACCTATTTAAGATAGTAAATGCACACATGAACATACCGGCATTTTAGCAACGCTTCCATAATTATGTGTTTTCCCCAAAATGGTTCAGTTTTATTTTATTATTATTATTAAGCTCTAAAAAACCATTGTATCTAATTCTATAATTTATTAATATTTTAGTGACTGAATTTCACAGACTAAATATTCATTATATATAACTAAAGTTATATTAAATTATATATACGAATAAACACTAAATATAGAAATTATATTTATAATTTATATAAATAAATATTTTAAAAATATAAATTATATTTTAGATTTAATATAAATAATTTATATTTTAATACAAGATTGTGTTCTATTATTGTTATAAATAAGATAAAAAATTAAAAAAAACCCCGATAAACAATTTATAAAAAAAAGATAGCTCCTAAAATAATAACTTGGTTCGTAACCAAAAAAAAAAAAAAAAAAACTAGTGCCTTTGCAATTTCAAGGAAGACGTAAATTCAAATAATCCTTCTGTTGCAGCTAAAAACATTGTGTATAAAGAGCTAAACAACATGACGATCGTTACTTTAAGCTATAGGGATGCACGAGTTAGAGTTATCACTATTTCCATAACAAAGGGGAACGAGACCTAATCAAAATTCAGCATACAACTACAGTCTCTGATTCTGCAATATTCCAAAACTCATTCCCGAAACTAAAACAGTCCACTTATCATTTGAAAATTACAAATTTCAATTTTGACTAAAAGATAGAGTTAAATACCGTGTGAAATAATACTGATTTTGATGTCGTTGGAAATCCCTTATCTCATTATTCAAGATGGTTTTAGAGTTTAGTCAACCATATCCAATTTCGTAAGTCTTACATCTACTCTTCATTTATATATACAAATTTAATTATATAATCAGTCGATATGGAACCTCAATGTATGAAAAGAAATGGATATATACGTTATAATACACTTATACCTGCACCAGTGGAACCAGAACAAGGTACATCCTTATCGACTATGGCGACGGAGAGGTCAGAAAACAAGAGGAAATGGCGAGCAATGGTTAACCCAATGATGCCAGCACCCACTATCACAATGTCATACGTAGGATCATCAACGTGGTTAAGGTTCGAGTGTGGAGCCATCGCGGTTAGTGTGGTTGCGTTGCGAATGGAACTCTTGTTTTTGGTTCAGCTAGCTGCTACCTGCTTCCGCCTGTTTTTTTTTTATTAACTCCACAAACAACAACTTGGATGCAATCAATGCTCTTTTTGGTTTTCGCGCCATTTCTCGACTATAGCTTTCGCTTATTTTTCATGAGTAAGTAGGGATGGCAAATATATCCGTACTCACGAGTAATACCCGAACTCGTCCCGATTTTGACGGGAAATACTCGGTTTGACCGAGTATGGGTAAAACTCGATATATTAAATCGGGTACGGATACGGGTATGGGTATGGATATGTACTTACCCGTCCCGTACCCGTCCCCGTTCTCATTTTTAATTTAATACCTACTTTCAATTTAATTTTATTAAAGAATTTTAATATTTTTTTATGTGTGATTATTTATTATAATATGAGATAAAGAAATAACCTAATTATAATTATAATATAATTAAAAAAATAATTTAAAAATATTATATTTTTTAAAAAAATTGAAAAATAAAAAATTTGATTGGTACGGGTACGGGTACGGGTATACCCGATACCCGACGGGGACGGGGATGGGGATGAAAATCACATACCCGACGGGTCCCGCCCCGCCCCGTTGCCATCCCTATGAGTAAGTGTTAAGGTTTAGGGTTTAGGATTTTTTATATTTGTATATTGTTAGTATAAAGTTTTTTTACATTGACAATCAATTATATCTTTTAATAGTATCATGTCAATTGTTTATTTAATTAAATAAAAATAAAATAAAATAATTTAAAAGATTTGATTGGTTGTTTATGTAAAAAAATTTACAGATGATTAATTCTTTTTTTATTCCAGAAATATGGCTCAGCATGCCATGGCACATGTATGGCATCAGGTTCTGGGTTGCATCGGATTTTCCCGTTTGTTTTTGGAGCCTGCTTTGGTTAATTTAATAATTAATAGATAAGCGTGAGAGATTCGTGTTTGATGGTGTGGATCTCTCCGCCACAAAATGGATTTTCTAACTTTTTGTCATTTGTATTGTATGCACTTTGTCTCTCTTTTTAACACTTGTAACAAACACTTCCTAAAAAATATTTACGTATACATATACTTGATCTTTCGATTCTAGCATGGAGCAATATTATACATCAGAAGAAATTGCATAGCGCTAGTAGTGCGGTTCAATTTTTGAAACAACAAAGATAATAAATTTGTAGAAGAAACTTGTGAAAGAAAATTTCTAGTGGGGACGTGCACCACAGAATCTTGCTCAATTGCTCATTGCCGGCATTTTTTTTTTATTATTATTAACATGATCACATGATGTCTAAAAGTCCACAAAGATTAATTATACTAATAGAATAAGAGGGTGCAAAAAATCTAAAGCAATCCGATTTATATTAAAAAAAAATATAATCTATTTTGAGAAAAAATTTAACCAATCCAATTTACAAAATCAGTTCAATTATTGATTTATTTTTATAAAGTGAATTAATTTTATTTTTATTATAAAATAATTCATATATAAGTACAGTGAATACCTGCATCACATCAAACCAATCTAGTTTTAAGAAATCAAATTCATATTTTAGAAAGATCAATCTATTAACCAATCTACTTTTATAAAATAAATTAGTTTGATTTAGTTTGAATTTTTCATAAATCTGTTTTATGAACACATCTATCACGAAGTGTAATTTTCCTCATTAAACATTATTTTAACACATCATCAGCATTTTCTAATTAGTTCATTAAGTGGACTTTTCTTTTCTATCACTAGCTTCCATCCCTTCCACATTATTTTATAGGATAGGTGTTACAATTCAGGATACTATGTTAATCTAATTAAAAGCATCTTCAATAAAAAGAGTTTATGATATATCTTACTAATAAACAATTGTGCTTATCAATTAAAAAAATCATATTTTTTTTTAATTTTAATTCTCTCAACTAAGAAGAGTACACAAATCACTTCTACAAAAAAAAAAAAAAAAAAAAAAAAAAAAAAAAAAAAACCAAACAGTTATGCATTATCAACCCTTCATCACCAACAAATCAAAACCTAATCACCCATTATCATTATATATTTATCATGATTATGTAATTTTTTTATTTTTAATATTTAATATTTTATATACACATTATATTAATTGTATAAATTTTATTATTAATTTTTATATGGTAAAATATTATTTATTGTGCTTAATTAAATTAATATTTATGATTACATTAATTTTATATACCTAGTTTAGGCGAGGGTTGGAGGCAACTAGCAAGTTAATTCCTCCAAACGATAACTATGAGGATATACACACGCAATTTTTAGTACCGAAATGGTAATATAAAAAAAAAGTGTTATATTTTTTATATTTTGATTAATTCAATGTGGATATATCTTTTAGATAATAAAAACAATGATTTCATTATTATTTATTCTTTATAAAGCTAAGAAAAAAAAATTGTTCTTTAATATATATTTTACTTCTTTTTTCTCTCATAAAGATATTGAATAGAATGAACTTTTTTTTTTCAATTGAAATTTAGAAATGAACATTTAAATATCCTTAAAAACTAGTAAATAAATCCAAAACATCTAAAATGTAATTAATCCTGTTGTGGAACAAGCTATTATTGCAAAAATTGGTGAATATGACCAACTATCATTAAGTATCTCATCTTTAGACCAAAAAAAAGAAAAGCAAAAGGTGGAATACCATAGAGAAAGTATACACATTAAAAAAAAAGTTTTTGTAATTGGTAGATGTTTTGTTAAATTGACCATAGAAACTTATTTTGACTTTTATCTGGAGAATAGCCAACAAAAGCTTCCATTGAATGAATAATGGATCTAGATCCTCAGAACAATGCTTTTGAATAAGAATGAGTAATCAAATGAAATAAAATGGCTCGATAAGATCCCATACCTAGAGCTAACATCATATAACCCAATTTAGACACTGTGGAATTGACCAAGTTTTTCTTAATATCTTTTTGTGCAATAGCTAAAGTCACTCCCAATACTACTATCATACCGATAAAAGTTATTTCATTCATTATTATGGGTAGAACTATGAAAAGAGGAATAAGCCAAGAAACAAGAAATATTCACACCACTACCATAGTAGCAATGTGTATAAGGGAAGAAATAGGAGTAGGCCCTTCCAATAGCATCTCGTAGCCATACATGAAGAGGAAATTGAATGGATTTAGCGACTGAGCCACAAAATAGCAAGAGGGCAAACAAAGTAAGAGAAAAAATATTAAATTTATTTTTATAAATCAAGTTATTTATTATTTGAAATAAATCCCAAAATTCCAAACTACCCATTATTCAATAAAACCTAAAATTCCCAATAATAACCCAAAATCCCCTACATGATTAGTTACAAGTGCTTTTTGATAAGCATTTGCCGCAATAGGACATGTGAACCAAAAAGCCTATTAATAAATAAGAACACCTTCTGTTGTGGGTTATAAACCCACTCTTAGTACTGAAATAAGTTCTTTACAAGAAAGAATTACTTTTATCAAAGAAAGGGTCCATAACTTCTATTCAAGTAGTTTATGTACCCACAAAAGATTTAACTAATTATGCCCTTGCTACAACATTTTCATATTTAGATGTTACTAATGTACTATCAAGAAGATTAGCGGCCAAAGGTATCTATCCATCAATAGATCCTTTAGATTCAACGACAACTATGCTCCAACCTCAGATTGTTGTGAAGAACATTGTGAGACTACACAAAGAGTTAGTTAAACAAACTTTACAACATTACAAAGAACTTCAGGACGTTATCATTATTCTTGGCTTGGAGAAATTATCTGAAAAAGATCGCTTAATTGTAGCAAGAGCATGAAAAATTGAGCATTTCTTATCACAACCTTTTTTCATAGTAGAAGTTTTTATAGGTTTATCAGGAAAATATGTTGGTCTAGCATAAACAAATAGAGGGTTTAAATTGATTCTTTCTAGAGAATTAGACGGTCTTCCTGAACAAGCCTTTTATTTAGTAGGTAATATCGATGAAGCTACTACAAAGGCTAAGAACTTAGAAATGGAGAGCAAATTGAAGAAATCAAATGGTTTTTTTCGTAGCAAACCAAGGGGTTGGTTTACTTTTGGACATGTGTCATTTGCTCTACTATTCTTTTTTGGGCATATTTCGCATGGTGCTAGAACTTCTTTCAAAGATGTTTTTCCTAGTATCAACCCAAATTTAGACGCTCAAGTAGAATTTAGAGCATTCCAAAAACTTGAATATCCAACTACAAGCAGGTAGGCAGTCTAATAGAACTATTTTTGTTCCTTTTCTACTTTTTTTGTTATAATTTTGAGTTTCACATCTATATAACTAGAAAAATCTTGATTTAAATCATTGTATTTGTTCTTTTTTTTTAGGGGGGAGGGGGAATGAGCCCCAACAAATAGGTAGAAAGTTATAATTGAAAATCACAATCAAATATATGGAAGCATTGATCTATACATTCTTCTTAGTCTCAACTTTAGGAATTATATTTTTCACTAACCTTTTTAGAGATCCCCTTAAAGTTCCAATGAAAAACGAAATAATTCTTTATTATCCTAATTGAAGTAATGAGCCCTTTATATATAGAGGGATCATTTCTTCAACTAGTCCCAATGTTCTTCGAATGGATCTCTTAATTGTTGAGAGGGTTGCCCAAAAGCAGTAAGGCTTACCTAGTAAAACTTACAAGTAAAGTAGATAGAGATGGCAATTAGGGTTGTTGTTTCCATTATTATAGTTCTAAAGTTTCAAGATCACAATAGATCATTATCTTTACAGCGAAATAATATACAAAGTCAACAGATCTCAATGAATAATAAATAGTATTTATGTCTACTCAAATCGTTGAGGATAATTCTAGATCTGGTCCAAGACAAACTATTGTAAGGGATTTATTGAAACCATTAAATTCAAAGTGTGGTAAAGTAGCTCTAGGGTGGGGAACTACTCCTTTGATGGGTGTTGTAATGGCTATATTTGCAATATTTCTATCTATTATTTTGGGGATTTATAATTCATCCATTTTAGTGGAAAAAATTTCTATGAATTAGATTCACAAGAATCAAGT